TGTATAGAAGAAATGATGAAAGTTATATATGTCTTATGTCTCAAACTGTAGAAAGGATATGTAACATGTCAGCAATCTTTGAACACACTGCTGGATACAGAGTAAAATACATCGTTGCTGGTATATCAAACTGTAGTGGATAATCCTATTGATTTTCAAACAGGGTATACAAATATACCTTTCCACCAGCAACATATGAGGGTGTCTATTGTTCTACATCTCCATCAATACTTGGTGATGTAAAACTTTTTCATTTAAGCCTTTCTTCTACATGTGTGATAGTATCACACCATAATTATAATCTGTGTTTGTGTGATTATGTATGGATTATATATGCTTACAGAGCATTCGATCATTCTCTGGGTTAAAATTTCTGTTCAATTCTGCCCATTTTACTAACGGATTTTCTGATTTAGTTGAATTGATATGTATGAAAAATATACATAACATATGTTTGCTATGTATCAGCATATATCTACCTATCATCCATCCATCTATCTATCCATTGATCTAGACAGGCTGAATGTTTGTGCTCTACCAAAATTCATATGTTGAAATCTTAATCCCAATATGTTGATCAAGATTGGGCTTTGGGAGGTAAATAGGCCATTAGGGTAAAGCCCTCATGAATGGAATTAATGTTCTTAGAAGAAGAAGCCAAGAGACCAGAGGACTAGCTCTGGTCTTAGCTAGCTCTCTGCTCTTAGCCATAGGAGGATGCAAGAAGGCCATCTACAAACCAGGAAGTGGGGCTTCACCATACACCAGATTGGCTAGCACCTTAACTTGAACTTCTCAGCTGAAATAAATTTCTGCCGTCTAATCCCTTCCATCCTCCAGTCTATGGTAGTTTGATATAGCTCCTGAACTAATATCTATATCCATTTCTATAAAATTATAGGTATAGATCAAGAGAACCAGTATTTTTTTTGCATTTTTCTCTCTCTCTGGCTTACCTTTTTACTCTCTTAAATCTGTAAATGGGATCATTTCCTTAATTTATTTTTCAGATCATTTATTGTCATTGTAAAAATGCAACTTTTAATTTTCTTTCCTGAAACTATATTTAATTTATTAGTTCTAATATTTTTGATGAACTTTAAAAATATTTTATTTTATTTTAAGTTCCACGATATATGTGCAGGATGTGCAGATTTATTACATAGGGAAACATGTGCCATGGTGGTTTGCTGCACCTAGCAACCTATCACTTAGGTATTAAGCCCTATGTACATTATCTATTTATCATGATGCTCTTCCCTTAACCCCCAGTGTGTGTTGCTCTCCTCCCTGTGTCCGTGTGTTCTCATTGTTCAGCTCCCACTTGTAAGTGAGGACGTGAGATGTTTGGTTTTCTGTTCCTGTGTTAGCTTGCTGAAGATAATGGCTTCCAGCTCTATCCATGTCCCTACAAAGGACACAATCTCTTTCCTTTTTATGGCTGCACAGTGTTCCATGGTATATATGTACCGCATTTTCTTTATCCAATCTATCGTTGATGGGCATTTGGGTTGATTCCATGTCTTTGCTATTATGATTAGTGCTATAATGAACATACATGAACATGTATCTTTGTAATAGAATGATCTATATTCCTTTGGGTATATACTCAGTAATTGAATTGCTGGGTGAAATGGTATTTCTAGTTTTAGGTCTTTGAGGAATTGCCACACTGTCTTCCACAATGGTTGAACTAATTTATATTCTCACCAACAGTGTGAAAGTGTTTCTATTTCTTCAGAGCCTCACCAGCATCTGTTGTTTCTTTACTTTTTAATAAGTGCCATTCTGACTGGCATAAGATGGTATCTCGTTGTAGTTTTGATTTGCATTTATCTCATGATCAGTGATGTTAAGCTTTTTTTCGTATATTTTTTGGCCAAATATATTTTGAGAAGTGTCTGTTCATATCATTTGTCCACTTTTTAATGCAGTTGCTTATTTTCTTCTTGTAAATTTGTTTAAATTTTAGATAGATTCTGGATATTAGACCTTCCTCAGATGGACAGAGTGCAAAAAGTTTCTCCCATCCTTTAGGTTGTCTGCTCACTCTGATGATAGTTTCTTTTGCTGTGCAGAAGCTCTTTAGTTTACTTAGATGCCATTTGTCAATTTTTGCTTTTGTTTCAAATGCTTTTGATGTTTTTATCATAAAATCTTTGCCTGTGCTTACGTCCTGAATGGTATGCCTAGATTTTTTTCTAAGATTTTTATAGTTTTGGGTTCTGAATTTAAGTCTTGATATGGTTTGGTTGTATGTGTTCCCGCCTAAATCTCATCTTGAATTGTAACTCCCACAATACCCACATGTCATGGTAGGAATCCAGTGGGAAGTGATTGAATTATGGGGGTAGGTCTTTCCTGAGCTGTTCTTGTGATAGTGAATGAGTCTCATGAGATCTGATGTTTTTAATAAAATTAGAGTTTGCACAAACTCTCTCTTTGCCTCGTGCCATCCATTTAAGATGTGACTTGCGGGCCGGGCGCGGTGGCTCAAGCCTGTAATCCCAGCACTTTGGGAGGCCGAGGCGGGTGGATCACGAGGTCAAGAGATCGAGACCATCCTGGTCAACATGGTGAAACCCCGTCTCTACTAAAAATACAAGAAATTAGCTGGGCATGGTGGCACGTGCCTGTAATCCCAGCTACTCAGGAGGCTGAGGCAGGAGAATTGCCTGAACCCAGGTGACGGAGGTTGCGGTGAGCCGAGATCGAGCCATTGCACTCCAGCCTGGGTAACAAGAGCGAGACTCCGTCTCAAAAAAAAAAAAAAAAAAAAAAAAAAAAGATGTGACTTGCTTCTCCTTGTCTTCTGCCATGATCATGGGGTTTCCCCAGCCATGTGGAACTGTAAGTCCAATTAAACCTCTTTCTTCTGTAAATTGCCCAGTCTCAGGTGTGTCTTTATCAGCAGTGTGAAAGTGGACTAATACAGGTATTTATTTAATCCATCTTGAGTTATTAAAGAACTCTTTAGGGTTCTCTGTATATAAAATCATGCGGTCAGTAAGCAGAGATAATTTAACTTTTTTCTTTTTGATTTGAATGCCTTTAATTTCATTTTCTTGCCTAATTGCTCTGACTTAGGCCTTTCCAGTATTATGTTTAATAAAAGTGGTTAGAGTGAGCGCTCTTGTACTGTTCTTGTTCTTAGAAGAAAAGCTTTTAGCTTTTCACCATTGGGTATGATGTTAATTGTGGGATTGTCATATATGACCTTTATATGTGGAGGTACATTCCTTCTACACCTAGTTTGTTGAACAGTTTTTAGCAATTAAGAATGTTAAATTTAGTCAAATGAGCTTTTGTATCTATTGAGATGTTCATACGATTTTTTTCATCTTTCACTCTGTCATTGGAGTATGTCAGATTTTATTTACCTGCGTATGTTGAACTATCCTTGCATCAAAGGGATACATACCTTTTAATTGTGGCGAATAATCCTTTTAATATGCTGATGAATTCAGTTTTCTAGTATTTTGTTAAGAGTTTTTGCGTCTATGTTTAACAGTGATATCGGTCTGTAATTTTCTTTTTGTGTAGTGTTCTTATCTAGCTTTGGAATAAGGGATGCTGATGTCATAAAATAAGTTTGGAAGTGTTTCCTCTTCTTCAATTATCTGGAAAGTTTGAGAGTAATTGGCATTAATTCTTCTTTAAATGTTTGGCAGAATTCAATAGTAAAGCCACTGGGTCCTGTTCTCTTCTTTATTGGGATGTTTATGAGTACTGATTGACTCTTCTTACTAATTATTGGTGTGTTCAGATTTTTAAAAACATTTTCATGATTCTGTCTTGGTACATTGTTACTTATCTTGTGTTATGGCCCAACCCAGGTTATGACTTATTTTGGCAAATGTTCTATGTTCACTTGAAAAAGATATATATTCTTTCATTTTGGGGGATAGTGTTCATTAGCAGTTAGTTCAGGTTGGTTGGTATACTCTGTTACATTTTCGATATACCATTATATACTGTCTTGTTATATCAATTGTTGAAAGTAGTATGTCAAAATGTAACTGCATTTATGGAAATTGGTAAATGCTGCACATCAGGACTTTTAGGTTTTTGGAGGGCTGGTTGTTACACATTACTAGCTCAATAATGGTCCTATGCCATTTATAATTGTTGCTTTATAATTATCTTTAAAAAAGTCTGTTACTGTCTTTTTACTGTCCTTGCTCCTAGGCTCTTTGTCTATTACATATAATTTTTCCACCTATGATGATTTTTAAAGCTGTCTAAATAACATGCTTTCTGACAGATTTCTCTTAGACCCAAGCACCTCATTCCCAGGGAGAATGGACAGTGTTCAGGGAGGACACTTGTGTTCTACCTGCATGACTAGAGAGATATTAGGGACTGTCAGGTGTTAATTACACCAGATCAAAGGGTCAATAGTCAAGGAATGCTGCACTATCTTCTATCAATAGGGTTTATCATCTCCAGGAAGGAAATGGGAACAATAAAATGGGCACAATACTGTAAGAAATTTCTCAGCCTGGACATTTCCTAACATCAAAGTCCCCTTTTTGGGTAACCCTGCTAAACTTTGCAAAGATTAGAATTTTATCATTTATTCCAAAAATAATTTAAATATTATCATTCACCATAGAATACGATTGGATTTTATATTAGTAATCCTTAACACAAAATAACATTATTTCAATCAAATGACCCAAAGGATCCAGGATTTTGTGGTTGCTGCCTATAATCAAATTTTCTTGATTGGAGAGAAGTTCTACTGCTAGTTTTATCCTCTTGGTCCTGCTTATGCAGTCACATCTTAAGAAACAACCTACCTAAAGATTAATGCTCTAGTGAGAAAAGAATTGCAACACACCTATATTTTTGCCTTTGTTACACAGGCTACCCCCAAACTGGAGCCCTTTCAGGATCTATGTATCCCCTTGACCCTGTTTCTTTACTTTCTTCTACTGGCCAACCATCATCAGCAGTCAACTAATCCCACCCTGACTTCACTAGAGGCCACTGTGAAGCAAGAAGCAGGGACGATGACCATCACAATCTGAGATGGGGAAGCAGATGGGCCGTGAGGAAGAAGCTTTTTGTTCCAGTCTGTAACACTGTGGGTGGAAAGCCACTCCACTGCTGACAGTAATAGCTTGCAGCATCATCAGCCTCCATGCTGCTGATTGTGAGAGTGTAAGAGGTCCCAGAACCGCTGCCACTGAACCTGGCTGGGACTCCAGAAGCCAGACTTGATGTGCTATAAATAAGAAGCCTTGGAGGGGATCCTGGCTTCTGTTGGTACCAGTGCAAGTGGCTGGTGCTTACACTCGAGCTGGCCGTGCAGGAGATGGTGACTCTTTCTCCTTGGGAAACAGCCATGGATGTTGGAGACTGGGTCAGCACAATTTCTCTATTGGATTCTAGGATTATACAGAATGGATGAAAATGTAGAAACGTGAACAAAAATAGAGATGCACGAATACGTTAATATCATGCAATGTACAAAAGTACTATAAGACTTAATTTTAAAAGAAAAAAAAAGAGAAAATCCTGTTTTAGACTCAAGCTCCCTTGGGAAATACAATCATGAGTTTAGAGCTTTCTCTCTTTCCTACCTGTGACACTGAGCAGAAGGAAGATGAAAATTTGAGCCTGAAAATCCATTATGCTGGCTGAGCCCTGTCACAGGCTAAACATACATCTTCTTAAAATGAAACCCCCTTAAAAGCAATTCTGAGCATTTTGTGGTTATTGAGGAAGAGGTATGCAAATTAGCAGGTAGGACGTCCTTGGCTTTTAAGTCCCTATGAGCCTTCCTCTTGTATAAGTAATAGAGGACAGGGAAGATTCTCAGTTCTTTTTCTGAAGTGGTGTGAACACTCTGGTTCAGGATATTACGTATGTGTTTGTGTTCCCACAGGCTTAATTTGACCTCTTAGCAAGGAAAGAGCAGCGTGTAAGCTGTATTTGCTCTGTGGTATGAATTTGCTAAGGATTACCATATATAATATTCACGGGAAAACCCCAAATTCCACAGATGTTCATTCTCTTTCTCCAAAAGTTGCTAAACTGAGACCTTGCCCAATCATTGTGGTCTCCTCAAATGACTCTACTAACATCCCAGTGTGTAATCTGGAACCTAGATATCCTCAGGAATGTTTTCACAAAAGATTCACACCAGTTGCAGTCAGAGAAGAGAAAACACCAGTAAGGTAGGGCAGGCAAACTAAACCTTTTTATATGAAACTGAAGGAAATCCAGCCATCAGTTCATTAACAAATGTAATTTACCTAGCACTATACCCCTACTGATTTTGAAAGCACCCTGAGCTTGATGGAGCTGGAATAGAGATTCTGATTAAATAACTACAAATCAAAGTGATGATTATTTTAGTTACAATATGAACAGTGTTCTGTGGCTAGAGTGTTTAGCTAGAGGTCATATTTTATCTGAGTATGTTGAAGAATAGTTTTCCTAAAAGTTATCTATTAATTGACAAAGAGTTAGTGAGAATACTAGAGGCAGAGAAAATATGTCAGAGTTCATTCAAGGAAGGGTCTTAAAATTTAGTCTCACTGCAAATTTGGATTCTATTCTCTGGAATAGACTATTGAAAAGATATAGAGACCATGAGGAAGCATGAAAACATCTGCATTGCTTCCTCAAGGATGTTTAATTACCTCATTGATTCTCTTAGGAAATAATTTTCCCATTTTTGCTTGTTGATTCTCAAAGATGTAAAAATAACTTAGAGGATTTGTGACTAAAGTTCCCATGCCTAGAGATACTGACCTCCTATGTGGTGTTGAGTTTACCTTAATTCTTAAAGGATACTTAGCTTTGAAGAGAACTCTAGGTATATGGCTACTTTTTCTTATCATTTTAAGGATATTTTATGGTCTCTGCTTTTCCTCATTTATGTTTAGAAGTTTGCTATTAGTCTTCTTGTTTCTTTAAAATGAGAGCATTTTTTTCTGATGAAGTTTTTTTCTGTTTTATCAGTAGATACTAAAAGTGTGACATTATTTATACAGTGTAATACTACACAGCAATAAAAATTAGTAAATTGCAACAACTTGAATTTTTATAATAAAATAAAAATGACACATACCTATTACTCAAAACACATCTGAGAAGTTAATTTATAGAAATAGACATAAGCATGTGTAAAGATATAGGTAAAATTATATCAACTAATCCATTGGTTATATTAGCAAAACCTGAACATAATGTAATTGCCACTCAATAGAAATGCTTGAATAAAGTATAATTTCTCCACACAATCCAAAATGTGAAGATAAAGAATAGGTTGTATTTTTTTATCCCTGACCTGAAGATACTCACTTTAGAAATGTTAAAAATAAACTTCCAAAAATGTTATTTCATAAGCCAATATCTGAAAACATAGAAGCAAAATTATGAAGAGTAATAGTGTGTCTTTTCTATCTTTACAAATATGGTATCAATTCACATCTTGTGGGGTTACAATGAAGGAAGAAAGGGGCTATGGCAATGGGGAAAATGTATGGATAACATATAGTAATATTCATAGAGACAAATGAAGTTATAGTAACAAATGAAAAATGAAAAAGGCAATTTAATTTATATTGAATATATATATATATAATGTGTGTGTGTATATATATGTTTATATAATGTCAAGAATATGGAATGAGAGGAGACAGGTAAACACAATAAAAACTCTGACCAATGCCTGAAATAAGGATATTACAGAAATAGAACGATGGTATTTAAACATCTAAAAATAACATAATAATCACTAGAACTAAAAAAGATTCTGTATATCTGTATTCATTCATAGAAAGATGGAAGTTTCTAAATTACGATTAATATTTTCATCAGTCGGAGAAATATGGTGCTACTCAGAAAAATATTTTTTAAACAATTGATCCACATCATATCAGGTAATGAGATATTTCTTGAGTCCAGGCATGGTCATGTAACTTTCAGGACTCCTCTGTGTTTAGCATTTATAGGAGACCTTCTGACTACATTAACCTTCATCTAAACACATTTTAATTGCATTGAAAACTTTTGGTGGGAAGTGAGATGGCAAGCCATAGTGTTATTGCATATTCAGACCCCAAGAGGGAGCTGAGAGATCATGCCTTGAGGAAGTGATTATGAACTAGTCCCCTTCCAGAACTCTGGGTGATAACATTGCCTATTCACTGACTCACACCCTCCCCAGATGTGCAAAGAGAGTCCAGCTGCCCGAAGCCCTTATTAGTATGCAGATTCCCCATAGTCAACACTCCTTGGCATCCACCACATCTGTAGGCGAAGCGCAGTTCCAGGCGCAGCTCCTCAGGTGTCTTTTACCCAGGTGAAAGTCCAAGGTAGATCAGTCACAAAAACAAAGTCCTCAGTGGAATTTTTAAATTGCTTCATTAAAGTACAATGTCAAACCATGAAAAGCACCTATTGTAAGTGTGCCAATCAATGACTTATGGTAAATTTACAAAGTTGTAGATAACCACAGCTTAATCTTACAGCACTTTAATCATCCCCTGAAGGATCCCTTGTGCAAAGCAGCAGTTATTTTTATTTCCACTTTCAGCCTCAGGTATTTATTAATTGACTCTCCCTCTACTGATTGCCTGATATGAACATTCTATATAAATAGAATAATGCATGTATAGTCGTCCCTATCTGGTTTCTTTCCATTAAACTAAGTTTAGTTCATCCCTATTTTAGCATGTATCAGTAGTCTGTTTCTTTTTATTTTTGGATAGTATTCCACTATATGGATATATCACATTTTATTGATCTGTTCACAGGTTGATGAACATTCAGGTCCTTTGCACTTTTTGGTTATATGATGATCAATAGTGCTGCCATGAATATTTGCCTATAAGTCTTTGCATGGACACTGGTTTTGACTTTTCGCAGATAGACCTCTACAAGTGGAAATGCTGTGCCATATGATAAATTTATGTTTATTTAAAAAAAACTGCCAAACTGTTTTCAAAAGTGGCTGCAGCATTTAACATTTGCACCAATAATGTATGAAGGCTCCTTTTCCATCACATTTCACCAACTTTTGTTATTGTCTGTTTTTTAAATTATTGTTAAAATCATTATATAGTATGGTGCCCATTGTGAGCTTAATTTGATTTTTACTAATGACTAATAAGGTTGAGCATCTTTTCATGTGCTTATTATCTGTTCATATATCTTCTCCCATAACATTTCTACTAAAATATTTTGTTCATTTTTAAATTGGATTGTCTTATGACTTATTTATATATTCTGGAAATGAGTCATTTATCAGATAAATAATTTATAAATAATTTCTCTGGTCTATGGTTTGTCTTTTCATTTTCTTAATGGTGTCCCTTGAAATTTAAATGTTCTGAACATTAATGAAACCTAATATATTAGCATTTTCTTTCACAAGTTGAGCTTTTGATGTTGTAACTAAAACATTTGCTGAACACAGAGATGGAAAAGTTTCATCCTAAAGGTTTTATAATTTCTTTTTTAGAAATGGGCAAAAGCTGGAAGCATGTCCCTTGAAAATTGACACAAGACAATGATGTAATTTCTTACCACTCCTTTTCAACATAGTATTCAAAGTTCTGGCCAGGGCAATCAGGCAAGAAAAAGAAATAAAGGGCATTCAAACAGGAAGAGAGGAAGTCAAACTATCCCTGTTGGCAGATGAAACGATCCCGTATCTTGAAAACCCCATCATTTCATCCTCAAAGCTTTTTAATCTGATAAGCAACTATGGCAAAATCTCAGATACAAAATCAATGTGCAAAAATCACCAGCATTCCTATACAACAACAACAGTCATGCAAAGAGCCAAATCACAAACAAACTCCCATTCACAAGTGCCACAAAACGAATAAAATACCAAGAAATACAGCTAACAAGGGAAGTGAAAGATCTCTGTAAGGAGAACTACAAACCACTACTCACAGAAATAAGAAACAACATAAATAGAAAAACAGTCCATGTTCACCGATGGGAGGAATCAGTATCATTAAATGGTTTTACTGTCAACAACAATTTATAGATTCAATGCTATTCCCATTAAACTACCACTGACATTCTTCATAAAACTAGAAAAAACTGTTTTAGGGAGAGAGATCCAAGATGGCTGATCACTAGCAGCTCGGGATCATAGCTCCCAGTGAAAGCGCAGCGAACAAGAGGATGCCACACTTTCAGACGAATTTTTGTTGCTCACGCACCAGAAGATTCCCGGCAGAGGAGCCCCACGGGTCGCCAGTCGACTCTTGGGGCTGGCGAGGCGGTTTTGCCGCTGCCTTGGTGCAGCAGTTCTTGGTGCAGAGTCAGAAAAGCACCATCAATCATAATGCCACTGTTTTGGCTGGCGCAGTCGGTTGCTCAGATTTTAGCGCTGGGAATGAACAAGTTGGACGTCCACTCAGAAACCCAATTATAAAGACGGCAATTATAAAGACCACAGATGGATAAATCTATAAAGAAGGGAAGGAAACAGCCTAAAAAGGCTGAGAATACCCCAAATCAGAACGCCTCTCCCTCTACAGGGGATCACATTTCCTCATCGCAACGGAACATGGCCTGATGGAGAAGGAGTGTGTTCCATTAACAGAAGCAGGCTTCAAAAGGTGGATGATAAGAAACTTCGGTGAATTAAAAGAACTTGTTCTAACCCAATGCAAAGAAACTAAGAACTGAAAA